ACTTTAAATAAATGAAACCCTTTTTGTTTTTGGGTCCCCATTCCAATATTTCCTTTGTTTTGAAAAAAAAAAAAAAAGGGACCAAGTGACAAGGTTGAATGGGCGGATAAAAACTTTGCCCAACGTGCCACGTGTCAAGTAACCCAGGCATTCCAACGCAAGAGTCTGGAAGCCTCTACATTCTACTTTAAATCTAAAGAGAATTAGGGAAGTCTGTGGACGCCGGACGGCTAGATTTTGTAGCATACACAAAGAAGATTCCAGACAAATCCAATCCCCCCACCAGCGGCATATATATGTACCGGGCACCATTATGTCTTTCTCCATCGAATTAAAGAACAAGACAAGGTCACCAGATGCTAGCTGGAAGAAGCAGGTGCACAATGCAGCAGTTGCAGTTGCAGTTGATGATAGCTGTGCTGATGTTGTTGATGGTGAGCCAAGCCAATGCCTTGATGCCTTACACAAGGTCCGCCATCTGGGACATGATGCTCCCAACTGAAGACCCCTTGAGGATCTTAGAACAAACTCCATTAACAGTTCCAAAAGGGGTGGAAACTCTGACCCTGCTGGCTCGTGCGGACTGGAGGGAAACCCCACAGGCACACCTCATCTCCCTTGACATACCAGGGATGAAGAGAGACGATATCAAGATTGAGGTGGAGGAGAACAGGGTGTTGAGGATCAGTGGGGAGAGGAAAGAGGAACAGGAAGTGGAAGGGGAGAAGTGGCACAGAGCGGAGAGAACCAACGGCAAATTTTGGAGGCAGTTCAGGTTGCCTGGCAATGCAGATTTGGAGAGGATCAAGGCCCATTTAGAAGATGGAGTGTTGAGGATCACAGTGCCTAAATTTGCAGAGGAGAAGAAGAGGCAGACTAAGGTTATCAACATTGCTGAGGCTGAGGGAGGTTCATCACCTGGCCAAGATATCAAGGCCATTAGGTCTGAAATGTAGAATTGGATTGTAATGATTCATCATTGTGTGCCCGTGTGTAAGGCTGTGTGTGTCTTCTCCTTTTTTAAAAATAAAAAATAAAAAATCCAGAAAATAAAAGGCTGTGTTTTCAAAACCTTGAAAAAAGAATTATGTAATAATATAAATCTCGAATGATATAATAAAATCTTTAAGTACTCGTTGATAACCCTAGTCTGCCTCTCCTTCAAAAAAGAATTTTGTTGGAATATTATTCCATGTTTTGTATTTCTATGATATTTTTTACCCAAATACACAAGTTAATCATTCATGACAAATTCATCCTTTAATCTAAAATCTAAATTTGAGGGAAATCCGTATTAATGTTGAGTTTTCCATAGATTTGATGCATCAAAATATCAAATGTTATCTTCTTCCATTTTTACACAAACAAACATACAAGTATGATGAAGAACCGGCCTTGTGACCTCGAGCTCAAGCCTTAGTTTGGGTGAGGTGGTTGGAGTTTTGAGTTCTATTACCGTCGTGAACTCCACCAAAAAATAACTTGATAACCGTGTGTTTCATTTAAGGGGTGGAATGTTCACCCGGTTTGAAAACCAATTACTAACAATTAACTTACTAATTTTTTAACCATTACCCTTGTAAAAAAAAAAAAAAAAACAAGTATGATGAAAAATTAATACTACGTGATTACGAGATAAAATTTTTTGAAAAAAAAAATCCAGTACGACTTTGAAGCCTTACTTAAAACTTTGAGGACTCAAACTTCTATTTTTAGGGACTATAAATACAAGGGGGTAGCGTCTATTGCTACAGAAGAAACTGGAGAGCAGAGGAGTGCAGAGGAGGAAAGAAGCGGAGCGAGGAGAGAAGTGGAGCGACTTCCAAATCCCAAACGCAAAGCTTGAACCCCTTGAGGAAGGGAAGGCTACGGCTATGGAAGGAGAAGAATCCGAGCCGATTCCTGTTTCCCCACAACATATCGCAGATGTGGAGATGGCGACCGCCCACACCGTATCCGATTCAGATGATTCGGATTCTAGTGACTCCGATAACGAAGCACAGCAGACTGTTGAGCTGCAAAACTTACAATCCCAGCTTTCCACTAATCCCTCCAACTATGATACCCACATTCGGGTAATTAATTCTATCAATCTATCTCTGTTTCAACTGCCTCACAAATTGCCAAAGCTTTGTTTTTTTTTTTTAATTTTTAGTTTTTGGTTTTTTTATCTGTCTTATATTCTTTTTTCCTCAGTACATTAAGCTTTTAAGGACAATGGGTGAACTTGATAAGCTAAGACAAGCAAGGGAAACTATGAGTGCTTTGTTCCCATTGAGCCCTGAGATGTGGCAGGAGTGGGCTAAAGATGAAGCTTCCCATTCATCAGGGTACTTAAATTTCTTCTTTTCTTCTTAGATAATAAGTGTTTGTTTCATTTGATTCTTCTTTTTTTTCATTTTTTTCTCTGTTTTGTTTGGCAGGCCTGTCATTCCTGCCGTCATTGAGAATCTTTATGAGAGAGGAACCTCTGATTATCTGGTTGGTTTAGCCCCAAATTCTTTTTTTTTTTTCTAAATTTTTTTAGGGTTCTAAGATGTCATCCACAGTTACTCTAATCTTATCTTGTTAACATATTGTGTTCAGAAACAAGTGGGAGCACAACAATTCATGTGAATTTACCAACAATTTTGCTTGCTTTCAGTCTCAAAAAGACTTAAATAGCATGCTCCTTCATACTTACATCATTTTTAACGCATTATATTATACCTTGTGTTGCTAACAATGATAATTACAATTAACAAAATTATTTTTCTAATACAGTCTGTCTCTCTGTGGTGTGATTACCTCAATTTTGTGCGAGAACATGATCCATCAGTTCGTGATTATTCACCTAATGGTATTTCAAAAGCAAGACATTTATTTGAGCGTGCTATTACTGCCGCTGGCTTGCATGTTACCCAAGGCAACAAAATATGGGATGCATACAGGGAATTTGAGCATTCCATTTTCAATGCCATTGATCAGACTGATATTCAGGTCAGAATGTATTATTATGGTTTATTTCCTAGCTTCTGCCCATTATACTTGTTTGAAATTTTTGTTGCTTAGGTTGACTTATTTTATCATTATTTTCAAGCAGGCAAAGGAGAAACAGGCACAGTGCATACGGAGAATATATCATCGTCAGTTATCTGTCCCACTTGCTAGCTTGAAGTCAACACTCATTGCCTACAAGGCTTGGGAGGTTGAACAGGGGAATATTCTTGATGCAGAATCTGATGATGTTGATGGAATTTCTTCTCAAGTTGCCCTAGCCTACAAGAAGGCATTAGAGATGTACAATGCCCGTGCTCATCTTGAGGAAGAGATAGCCAGGCAGGATTCAGTTGAATCAGAAAAGTTTCAGCACTTCATGGTATTTTTACCTATCATCTCCATATCCTCCTGCATCTCTTAACGTTGCTAATTCCTTGATATGATTTTAAACTAAAACGGTTTGTTTACATCTACATCTAAGAATGTCATTCACTTTCGACATTATGTTAAAAGAATATTGTTTTTCTCTTCCTATTCTTCACTTTCAATGTTTTTTTATTCTTTTAGCTTTCTAAATGGAAAAAGGACTATGATTATTTGTTGTAGAGCTACTTGAAATTTGAACAGTCTTCTGGAGATCCAGCTCGAGTTCAGATTCTGTATGAACGTGCTATAACTGAATTTCCTGTATCAAGCGATCTCTGGCTTGATTATACTCGCTATGTAGATAAAACTTTGAAGGTTCCCCTCTTACCATATATGCTTGAGTTTGTTTAGTTTACTCAATATCAGCATCCTCATTTTCTTCTATTATTTATATTCACCTTCAGGTTGGCAGTGTTGTGAGGGATGTTTATTCCAGGGCCACAAGGAACTGCCCCTGGATTGAAGAACTGTGGGTTCAATATTTGCTTTCCTTGGAGCGTGGTCATGCTTCTGAGAAAGATATATCTGATGTATGTTTTAATTATACCTTTCCTCAGAGATTGTTTCTCCTTTTTGGAATGTTGAAATTTTTAGCATAAATCAAAACAAAAGTGCTTCTCAAGCTTTTGTAGGCCTTCCTGCAAAGCTTAAGAAAATAAATATTCCTAAATTAGCATGGCCTCTCAGTGGCTTTAGAGAACAGAGCAAGCATTTTATCTTGGCAGTTAGACACAGAATAAGCATTAATTAGAAGCTTACTAGAATTTGGGAATTTTTTTTTTTCAGGAGTAAATACTCTACAGTTTATGCAAATCAATGCATGATATATTGTTATTGCTTTATGAGTTTTTTTTTTCCTCTCTTTCTAACATCTGATGCAGTCTAATTGAGTACAAGTGAATATGTGTGTGTTTGCATTTGTTTGTTTATTTAATTATTTATGATCTGTGTATGTATCCACATGTTATTTTGGGTTATTAATTGATTTTCCTCATTAAATTCAGGTCTATGAAAAGTCCCTGCAATGCACTTTTTCAACTTTTGAGGGGGTAGGAATTATTCTTTTATCTAATTTTGCATTGAATACCTTCATTATCACGTATCTACTGAACAGTGTTGTTATTTCTATCATGTTATTGTAGTACCTAGATCTGTTCCTCACCCGTATAGATGGCTTAAGGCGAAGAATTTCATTGGCTAAAGAAGGAGATGCCTTGAGCTTTTCTTTGATTAAGGAAACTTTTCAGGTTTGGATACATTTACTTCTTTATCTTTAAAATGACTTTTGGTTCAGGTTGCTTGATTATAATAGCTACAATCCATCCACGTGTTTTTACGTTCTTTGAATTTATGAGTTTTGTTCTATATCAGCTAACTGCTATGTATTCCCTGCAGTAATATTGTGTTCTGACTATGGGTTGTGTTACTTTCAGCGAGCTTCTGAGTACTTGTCACCACACATGAATCATACAGATGGTTTTTTGCATTTATATTCATATTGGGCTCGCTTAGAGCTGAAATTGGGAAAAGATCTTGGTGCAGCTCGTGGTGTTTGGGAGAATTTGCTTAAAATCTGGTTTGACCATCTGAAGCTTATAGTTAATTGTTCTTCGGTTGTTTGGTTATGTAATTTTAGAAAGGTTATCAGGCTAACGTATTGCCTGGTTTATGCAGTTCAATGTTCGAAGCATGGCAAGGTTATATAACTATGGAAATTGAATTAGGTCAAATAAATGAAGCTAGGTCCTTATACAAGAGATGCTACAGTAAAAGTTTTAGTGGGACAGGTTCAGAGGTATGTTTCCTTTCTTTTAATCTTCATGCTACGTGAAATTGCATGCCTGATCTACTTATCTTGTCTGGGGTTTCACTTTCACGCTGTATAAATATATCCATATTCCCCACAATTCACATTAATATTACACATGGCCAACCCTTTCCAACTCATTTATTTTTACTGTTTCTCATTGCTGCTGCTATTATGACAGAAATAATTTTTTTTTTTTTCATATGTGAAATGAAGAACCTTTTGTTGCAATCAATATCTATTCAATTGCTGTGTAAATTTTAGCTTTCTAACAAACAGAATTATTCAGGACATATGCCAAGCTTGGTTGCGCTTTGAGAGGGAATTTGGTACATTGGATGACTTTGATCGTGCAGTACAAAAGGTAAAAACTCCTGCTATAGTTCTATCCTGCTGTTTAGATACTGTTGTGGTTTCTCAAAGTAACAGCATGTATTATGCTATTTATTGGCCTTCAAATTTGTATAGATGTATTTCTCAGCAAATGGATGTGTGAATTAGATGAACAGAGGTGCTGACCAAAAATAATAATAATAATAAAACAAATTAACAAGAAGTTTAATATATTAATTTTTTTGAATATCTATGTACTCATGGACAACTGTTTTGTATAACAGTTTACAGAGTTTTGTTTGGCTCAGAACTATGAAGATAATGGGTTTTGTGTTACATTGTTAGCCTTGAGTCTGTATTAATTTGTGTTTAAGAAAACTTGTTGGTGTCTGAAGCTTCTGTAGTTCTTGCTACAGTAATCATTAATTCTAGTTTGCTTGACAAGAAAACAAAATGCTAGTTTAATTTGATGGATCAATTATCACCAACCTATATAGTGTTCATGTACCTCACTTTTATATTCTTTAAGTTCCCCTCTTCCTCTTCCTTAGGTAAAGTATGATGTGCCTGCATAGAATTGTTAGTTTTTCTGTTCCGCTTTGCAGGTTTCCCCTCGTCTGGAACAGTTGAAATTATTTAGGTTACAACAGGAATCCATATCTCTGACAGCAACAGCAGATCAGAGAGAACATAGCTTTAAGAAGACTGCTCGTGAAAAGAGGAAGTCTGGTTCCAACGCAACTGATGAACAATCTCCAGCTAAGCGGCAGAAAAATGATCCTCGAGACCCAAAGAAATTGAATCAGAATAGCAACTCCCAAGAACAGAATAAAACTGAAATAAATGAAGGGGATGAGACAAAAGACAAGGTTGATCAACCAGAAAATGAAAAACAGATTAAAGATTCTAGTGCTGCAAAAAACAAAGTGTATACAGATCAGTGCACTGCATTCATATCAAATCTTCCCTTGAAGGCAAGTAGAGAACTTATTCGGCCTTCCTTCTAGTCCAAAACTCTCTCTCTTCTCTTTTTTATACCCCTTTTTCTTTCTTCCAAAATAGTGGGAGTCCTTCATTTGTCTTCTTATTTTTAATATTTTTATTATGTGGCAGGCAAACGATGAAGATATACATCAATTCTTCAGTGATGTTGGTGGGGTCTCTTCTATCCGTATTTTGCATGACAAATTCACTGGAAAATCAAGGGTCTATCTCTATTGCCTTTCTTTTTTATTTTATTTCCTTTTCATTTCTCTTTTTTTTTTTTTAATATATTTATTGGTGGAGCTGACCTTTGTTTTCCTCTACTTGCTACTTTTATGTTTCTAATCATGAACTTGGGTAATTCTGGCATTAACAATTGATTTATTAACAATAGAGTTAGCTTGCATCATTGGGATCATTTCATTTTATTAGAGGTGATAAGATTAAAAGAGTTTTCAGTTAATTGCTACTTTTTATGTTCATACTCTTGGGCAAGATCAAGTTATGCATGTTGTGGTGAATTCTTGACATCTAACATGCTTGACATTTTCTCCTATTTGGTTGATTTATTAATTGGCATTTATGCTTGTCATCCCATACTCACATTTGGTGCCTTCTCATGGGTTTCTGAAGGGATTAGCATATGTGGACTTTATTGATGACGATCACCTTGCCAGAGCTGTAGCAAAAAATAAGCACATGTTACTTGAGAAGAGGTTGAGCATTGCACGGTCTAATCCAAAGCAAAAGAAGGAATCTAATGCTTCTATTGCTCCAGGGGAACATGGTTAGCTTATGTTTTTCTGGGATATGTATTCTTTTCTTTTCCCTGGTGTTGGCTTTGAGTAGTTGTATATTTTCGTATTGAATTGTGTGGTGATAGTTTGTGCATGAATGAATTGAACTTGCAGTGGGGTTTCGCAAACAAACTAGAGTTGATGGGGGATCTGCATCTAAAGAAGATGTCGAGAGCTCAAAAGAGGGTGGGGTATCACACTCAGCTGGTCGTAGGCGTGGTGAGAACATCCAGCTCAAGGGAAAGAACACGTTTGCCGTGCCAAGAAATGTTAGGGCACTTGGTTGGACTGCTAACAAACCAAGAACAGTAGAGGAAGGAGATGAGAAGCCAAAATCCAACGACGAGTTCAGAAAAATGTTTCTTAAAAAGTAAGGTTTGGTAGTAATGTAGAAATACTATTTTTTTTTTTTTTCGATATGGATGTAGAAATACTATTAGCCAATACAAATTGTTGTGATGAAGAAATATTTGTCCTTTTGTTGTCAGTTACCTTTATAAGCAGCATGGCATGGGGTATAATTGAAGCCTGATTTAGTCTTCTTACTGGAGGAATGATGCTTGTTATATTTCACAGATAGTCAGATACACAGTCAACAAAATTGTCCCTGACCCCTCTCCATCTCACTCCAGCGACTTATATTTATTATCTTTTTTGGCGTTGACTTTTTGGAATCTAATAATCACATTAGATTTCGATTAATTTAAAATCAAGTTGTGTCAGACTCCATTAGAGGAGAAGCTTTCTAAATGTATGTTTTTCCATTTACAAGACTTCAACTCAAGATCTTATTTAAGGGTAATTGAGTTTTTTTTCATTTGGACTAACAGATCATTAATGACTTATATTTATTATTACTTGGTCGAAAATAACAAATCTTATACGACATTGGCTTGCCAATGTTAACGGCCCATCGTCTCATCTCACCTATATTCCTCGCAAAAACATCGGACATGAAAATTAAGACTTAGAGAAGTTAGTTGCCATTGTGGTTGGTTTTTGATTTCTGATTTTATTTTTTAAAATTCAAACAAATTAATAATTAATAATTAAAGATTGAGTTAAAATTAATAATAATTAATTTATAAAATTTTTTAATTTTATTTTTAGATTTTTAAATTTTTAGAACTTAAAATTATAATCATACTAAAATGGAGTTAAATATTTTAGTGTTAACATGTACCTAACATTCATCCAAGACAATAATGCACGATACAAACTTCTAAGTACTACTAGAATTGTACAGGACTGGCTAGTTTGTCTTGCATGCAGCAACTTCTTTACCTTACTACTCAGACGTGCCACCAAGCCAAAAAGAGTCGAGCAACAACAGTATGTGTATCTGATCATGGATTTCTTCCTTCTGAATCATCTGTTACACAATATATTATAGACCTCTGGAATCAGAGGCAAAAGAAATAAGACAAGTCTCACACACAAACAAACCTTAGAAGACGTTAAAAGTATATTCCTCATTCAGAATTCATAGTACATCAAAATTGGTAAACGATAATCCACTTCCCCAAAAATGGAAAAGAAAGGGAATTAATGCTCCGCCTGTGGGTAGGAAAGGAAACTGGAAAAGATCAAAATAGAAGTATATCCCTATTTTGGTATTTATGTTACACCAAGCAATTTATCTAGACTGTAACTCTTCGACCCTGCATCCTCTCACATTTTTCGTCCGAGGAAAGGTCAACTTCAATGCATCAGTAGATGTTTGGCATCGAAAGTGCCCATCTCTAGCAGACCAACTGTCTAGACCGTATTGTGTTTTGTGAGCCTCATACAACTTATATGTTTCACATTGATGCTTTTGCGTCTGTTGAAAACTTCTAAATCAACACCAAACTTCAGATGAGCAGAATAGTTTATTTATACTCTCCATTTAACATTGAAGCAGCCGAGCACGACCTGGGTTAAGAAGTGAGTCTGACATCGTCCAACCCTATGAGCATGCACATCAAAAGGATATGACAATATAAAATTTTCCACAACAACAATCAATGATCCAGAATAGAATGCTGCCTTGCAAACACATCTCTAGAAAAAACATGCTATTAACTTATGATTACCTGTTCTGCAGCTTCACTCTTGAATATTCCATAAGTTGTTGTGACCATCTTACATGACTCAGTAATATGAGACTCAAGGTCCTTAGACATGGGCATGAGGTCTGAGTGACCATATTCTTGCTGCCTCTGAGATAAAGGCTGAGCACTATTTGATGAAGTTATGAAATGCAAAAGCACATGTGCCTGTAATATAAGGTGAAATTATAACTTAAATCCACCATAAGCTAAGGAAAAAAAACAAGCTTCGTTGCTAACATAACGAGGCAACAACAGAAAATATCCTACATGGAATGCTGCTTTTAGAATGTCATCCGACTTTGCCTGATCTTTGAGCAATGCATATACTTTACCCTTTGAAGGATTGTATGTAACCATGTATCTTTCTTTCTGCCATCATTCAAGAAAACAAATTCAATCATACAAAAGAAAGAATGATATGATATTGTCTCACTGTGAGCATGCATACAACTTATGTTCATGGGAGTGGGCGAGGAAAGTGATATGTTGTCAATGAGTGCTATTTGATCGTTCTTGTGAAAAGAGGCATACCTCAAAGAGAGGCTCTATTGCAAGATAAGCATGTGGGTCTTGGAATGCATCCTTAAATCTTGATCCTGCCAAAAGTTGGAACAAAGTTCAGATTGAATGCTCAAGGTAGCAACACCAGTATTAGGAATCAGAAGTGAAAAAAATATAAATTCACGGGTCTGTACACACCAAGAACAACAGGCTTATCCTTCAACCATGGAAAACTTAATATATTTTCCTGCATATTTCCCTCCTGCAATGAAGGAACTCGACCTGAAAATGGACACGGTTGAGTCCTTTTATATCAGAAGTATCTTTTGTCTACTTGATTTCATAAATTGAAACTGTCATTGACTAGAAACAACAATAGAAAGAAACTCAAGGTCAAATGCACATGAGCCTCTATAGCAATTACCCGTCTTAAGGAAGGAATCTACTGCCACACTGAATCTGGCCCTATTTAACGTGTGCAACACTACAGACTTGACCTATTAAAAAAGAAACACCATGAATCAAGCCTTAAGAAAAAGCTTGGTGGATAGCTGTAAACATGAGAAATGTCACTTTTTTGCATAACTATAATGAATAATCATACCTCTCGGTACGAGCTCATTACATATCCACAAGAAAGGAGAGCAAATGTGGTAACTAATGAGGGATTTCTTTTTGAGATCATAATGCTCAGTCCAGTCCCCAGCTTCAAAGATTAAACTCGATTAGCCTCAGCTTAAAAAACTGTATATAAAAGGATTTGGAATGTGGGGATAAGTTTTATAAGAATACCAGATCTGCAATATTGCCAACACATTCCCCTTTAGCTGTTACATCTCCAATATTTTCCCCCTTAGCAAAAGCTTTGTAAATTGGTGTTCGAGTTGAGGTTGATGTTACAGCAGCAACATTCTATGAATGAGTAAATAACAGAGAATGAGGTTGAAGAGCTTCACCAGCAGTGAATACATATGCTATAACCTATAAGAGAATATCACCAACCACCAACAAGAGATTGGTGGAGTTGGTACCCACTAACTATAAAACTTTTGATTGGGTTCAAGGGTCCAAAGCAAAGCTAAGTTCCAATGTACCAAAAAGGAAAAAAGAATATCACCAACCTTTGCCACATTAGCTGCACAGGCCAAGGGAAGAAAAAGGTGAGGGACAGCTGCAGTTACCAACTCGACTCCAGCACCCAGCTCCATGAGAAGGTCACCTGCAAATCGAAGCTAGGACACATTTGCAAGTTAGACAGATCCCAGCTTGTCTGTCAATTATCCACAATTTAAAGGAACTTACTTGCTTTAGATCATAATCAAATTTCCTTCCTTGGCGGGCAAAAAGCATTTTACCAACACGACCAGCACCATCCTGCAGACATAGCAAAAGTTTGAGCATGATGCAATAGCAGTTGACCAGAAGCGTTTTACAGAAGCACTGAATCCATTTTAGCAACATGAAGGTAAAGCCCAAAGCAATGATGATATATAAGTAGATAAGTAAATTAATCAAGTATGAATGTTTGTATGTATGTATGAAGATTGTTACTTTAAGAATCCAGTTGATGGCAACAGCACCAGGGGTAGCTGTGTTTCTAGAGACTCCAACGGAGCTCAAAAGGGTTTGTGTTGTGAAAACACCCATGGCTCCACCAAAGAAGTGCTGCAAGAAAGTAGTATAATTGTAATTGAAACTAAATATCCGAATGTAGAAATGAAAAATAAATAAATAAATAAAAAATTTTACCTTCAAAGCTCTCCATGTCATGTATGGCACATAGGAAGGGGTAACACTATCAGGGAATCCTTCCGGCACCACATAGGATCGAACAAATGACATGAGTTGCTGTAATGTAATGAAATGAAATGAGAGATGAAAAAAAAATTAAGAAAAGAAAAGAAGAAATTAGGGATTGCGAGGAATACTGACATCAACAGGTGGCTGAGGAGATTGCAAACTGAGGGCGCGAATGGAATTGTTCTTGAGAGGGAGTCCAGGAGCATCCCTCTCGGCAACGTACTGCCACCTCCTGCCATCGATTTCCTCACAACAGATCAATCTGAAGCTGGAATGAAGAAATTGATCTTCGAGAACAGAGAAGTTGGGAGAGTGGGGAGGGGCGAGGGGTGGATGATTATGGGCGGTGGTGGGGAGAGAGGGAGGAGCGGAAGCAAGGTTAGCGCTGATTCGCAAGGTTTCACGGACGAGGATGCGGGAGTCCTGGTGGGAGGTGGAGGATCGGTTGAGCTTAATTGGAGCCATAATCCTTCTTCCTGACGCGGAGATTTGTATGAGAATATATGAATTGAATCAAGAAACCACCATCTACGGAAGAAGAAGGAAAAGCAGAAGCAGCAGCAGCAGCAGCAATAGCAATATATATATATTTTTTTTTTTTTTTTTTTTTACAA